TGTGCGGGCCCCCCCCGGGGGGGGGGGCCCCCGGGATCTGTGCTCAGGATGACAGGAGGCTGCTGCTGCCACCTCGGACTGGTGCTGGGTGCAGCCCACACCCAGCACTGGGAAGACTGCTGCTGCCACTGGCCCCAGGCAGCAGCAGCAGCCTCCTGTCATCCTGCATACAGTTCTGGGGGCCCACACCCCCAGGAGGAGTCCAGCAATGAGGACAGGGGGAGGCCAGATTGAGCTGTGTGGGGCTGGCGGAGCTGGTCGGAGCGCAGCCCTGACTCTCCCTTCCTCCCGCCACTGGGTTGCACTCTGAACAGGTCCACCAGCCCCATGGAGCTCAGCATCATGGAACTCAGCTTGGCCAGTGGCTCTCCCCTGTCTCCCGCCACCAGGATAAGCTTCATGGAGCTGGTGGAGCAACTCAGAGAGCAGTCCAGTGGTGGGAAGCAGGGGAGAACCAGGGCTGCATTCTGACCAGCTCCACCAGCCCCACAGAGCTCAGCCCGGCAGCAGGAGGCAGGGGAAAGTCACTGGCCAGGGCTGCGCTCTGAGCTGCTCTGCCACCAGGCTGAGCTCCGTGGGGCTGGCGGAGCCGCTTGGAGTGCAGCCCGGTGGCAGAAGGTAGGGAAGAGGCAGGGCTGCGCTCTGATCGGCTCCACCAGCCCCACGGAGCTCAGCCTGGCGGTGGGAGGTGGCTACCACAGCCCTGGCTCTCCCCTACCTCCCACCACCGGGCTACTTCAAAACTTGAAATGTTTCAAAACTTTCTAAACATTTTGAGTGCCCTCATTTCATTTTGAAGCTGTTTCAAAGGCTTTTGTTTCATTTTGATTTTGCTGTTTTGAGCTTGAAATGCGTCGAAACAGCTTCAAAACGAAACACTTGTCGAAATTTCGTACAGCCCTAGTATAAGATGATGTGAAAGCTGAACTTAAGAATGAGTAATATTAAATAGGCCTTGATGTTAAATATCTTTCTACATTAAAGGTCCTAGATAGGTCAAGAGAAAAGATCCACAAGATCACATGCAGACAGTTGGAAAATACATACTTCTTATACGTGATTGCATCCTCACAGGAAGAACAGAAAATGACAAAGGGGAAGGAAAACTGCTTTCAGTACTGTCAGGTGCATGCTCTCTGCACAAAACATTAGACAGAACACAGCCTCTAAATGGAGGGCCAGAAAAAGAAGAGAATGGCTCTTGACAAGGCCTTACTTTCTTCATTCTACAATTTCTTTCCTGGCTACAGTCCACATAGAAATTAAAAAAAAATTGTTAACACTGAATACTAAGGATATCTACTTTTCAGCAGCGTAACAGTTGAACTGATCAAATATTTCTGAAATCAAAGTATGGCTTTTTCCAGATTTTTAAACAGTTTCTATTCTGAACACTAGAACAAAATATTAAACTCAAAGTATCGGAGAGATAAAAGGCGAGGGTCTTATGGGAACTAGAATATGTCAAAAACCTTAATTTCTTGAAGTTCTTAAAGAAATATTACCTCTCATACTAAGACTGCATGAGAGGAAGGAAAAATTGGCTGGCAACTAACAATTCTTAGATTTGAAGTCAAACAGGCATATATGGAAAACTAAAAACAAAATTAAAAAACTAACGTACTAATAATGTTGTTCTACTTAATATCATAATGTAAACATATGTAATCAATTTATCATGGAAAAATGAAAGTGCAAAAAAGTTAGGAATAAAGATGCATCTACATTCTGCATCTCCCTTGTACTGGTAGCTGACATAAAAGCTGGATGTTCCTTTTGCAATGAATTATGATGTCACTAAAATAATCCATACCTGCCCAGCCTTGGGCTTTTTTTTCTTATTTCTTCACATAAGGTTAAAATAAGCAAGACATAGCTTTATTCCTCAACAGTAAGTGAAGGTTATTGAAATATGAAGTAAAGTATAACCATAAAAATCTGGCATGCTCGGAACAGAGCACCTGCTGGATATTTGAAAATGCCGAAATTCTGAAATATAAGTAAAGTGCATGGAACAGGGGGGAGAAGTGGGGGGGGGAGAGGGGGGGGCAGTGGCGGGGAGGGACGCTTGCCCCCGGCACTTTGT